AAGAAGACAATTATGAAAAAAAGTTAAAAATTTAGAATTAGATCTGTGAATTATCTTGGGGAAAATTAGTCGTTTGGAGTTTCAAACCGATATTACCATTTTTATCAAAAAATTGCTAATTTGTTAGACCAAGCCTAAGAAATTTTAAGTGATAAATACTCTGGAAACAGCGAAAAAACTTGACCCAAAAAAAGGTTAATGAGTTTATTAATAGAGCAAGAATGCCCATAACTGATCCAATAAAACGAAAAAAATACACCAAACTGTCCATGAAAATATGATTTGTTATGCCAACGAGAACAATTAATTGGTATCACATTATCCAAAATAGTTCAACCTAAAAATGTGATACCAGATTTAAATGTTATACCCATCAAACCCCCAAGCCCCGTTTGTGAAACTGAGACAAGCGAACACCAGCGAGTACTTGTGTCCGTTGAAAATAGCAAACCCGAGTTGATTGTAAACAAGCCACTTGTCAAACCTAGTGTCAACCTAAAAAAAGAGGTGGACGAACACGCAGAACCCAAAATTGTTAACCAATTAGAACTCAAATTAGCGTCAAATGTCGAATCCGTTAACGCCAACAAAAATAATCAAAATTAATCGCATTGTCCCCAATGAATTTATTGATAAAAGCAATGTCCCGAAAAAAATGGTTGAGAGCAAAGAATATATTTGGATTAATGGTCATTGAGAGCCCAAGATATGAAGTTTTTTATATTCGCAATTTACTTAGTGATTTGTTAACAAAGTATTTTTTTCTTCTTTTGTCTACAACTTTTGTTGGGGCATCAACGCCGACAACGAGTTTAATACTCTCGTTCAGTTTGTTCAGTAGCCAATTGTTCAGAATGGTTAACCTCTTTTTATCCAACGTTTGTCGAAGTAGATTTTTGTTCCGTTTTTTTGAAAGCATTTCTTAAGAGTTGCTAACAAAAACGGTATTAACAAAAAGATTTTGTTCCACCTGATATTTTTTTGTGTTCAGCAAGTTGTTTTGGCCTGGGTTTTGGGTTAG